GCTCTTGCTCAGGCTGGTCTTGAACTCCTGAGCTCAAGCAGTCCTCCTGCCTCAGCATCCCGGAGTCCTAGGATTACAGGTGTGAGCCACCGCGCCCAGCCTATAATTGGTTTTTTAAAAATGTAGGGAAGTATATTAGAGTGAACAATCCTGATTTTTTGTTTTTTTGATGGGATGAAAGGAAGAGAAGTGGTCCAACATGGAGTAATTCATGATCTCTAATATTCTTTCTGGGTTTACTGTGCTGTAATAATTTTTCCCAGGTTTAAGTTACTGGACTGATTTCCCCAGAGGCATTTAAACTGTATTTGATTTATATATACACTGTTAACTATTTATTGTACTAAAAGGGTAGTGGAAATTTAAAATCTTTATTTGCAGCTTGAATTCCATTGTATGTGCGTACCAAACCTTTCCATAGGATTCTTTACTCAGCATTGCAGTAACATTGGGTTCCTTGTATTAATACTTAAATAATGCTTTGTATATGCCACTTACTATATATTCCCTCATTTAAAACTCCTGATAACCCTATGAGGTAGGTACTGTTGGCCACATTTTACAGATGAGGAAACAAATACGAAAGGCAATTTGTCCATGGGTAGATACACTGCTAGTAAATGGCAGTTAGGATTTGAACCCAGGCATTCTGGCTCTTGAGTGTGCTTAATTGCTACGCTGCCTCTCTGAAACTTTTTTGTAAAATCCTACAATTCTGACAGTCAGCTATGGGTGTACATCCAACTTTTACAGAACCAATTATCAGATAGTCAAGTGAGTGACTTGGTTTAAAAATCCTAGTAAGTGGCTGGGCATGGTGGCTCACGCCTGTAATCCTAGCACTCTGGGAGGCTGAGGCGGGTGGATCGTTTGAGCTCAGGAGTTCGAGACCAACCTGAGCAAGAGCGAGACCCCATCTCTACTAAAAATAGAAAGAAATTGGCCAAACAACTAAAAATAGAAAAAATTAGCCGGGCATGGTGGTGCGTGCCTGTAGTCCCAGCAACCTGGGAGACTGAGGCAGGAGGATCGCTTGAGCCCAGGAGTTTGAGGTTGCTGTGAGCTAGGCTCACACCATGGCACTCTAGCCCAGGCAAGAGAGTGAGACTGTCTCAAAAAAAAAAAAATCCTGGTAGGTGACATCCATAATTCGTAGAATAAGTGCAGTCCAGATACTTAATGAATCTTTCCTTTTCTGCTAGTGTTTTAATACTGAAGTTTAGTGGACAACAGTCACTCTTCCTCTTCTCATAGAACTTATTGCTTGGTTGTGGTGATTGGCAATACTGAGAAATCAGCCATTACATTACCATGTGATACAGTCTGTGATGGGTGGGGTTGGAGTTACTGTGGTACAGGTTGTCGTAGGCTGTGGTGAGTCAGCAAAGGCTTCCTGGACTAAGTATTATAAATTCCAAGCTGATAAATAAAAGGGAGCAGAATTAGCTAGGTGAAGTGCAGAGGAAGCATCAACAACATATATAGAAGTCCAGAGACAAAGGAGTGACTATATCAGGAAACCTCAAGCAGTTAAGGATAGCTAGAACATAGAGTGTAGAGTTGGAGAGCGATGATTATGGTGGGTAGGGGCCAGATCTTAAAAGTCCTTGTCGGCCATATTGGAGAATCTAGATTTTTTTTTTTAATGAGGTCAATGGGCAAGGCCTGGAAATATTTTAAGCCAAAGCAAATCATGATCACATTTGCCTTTTAATAATAATTGCTTACATTTATTGAATACTTGCTGTGTATCAGGCTCTGTTCTAATTGCTTTCTGTGTATAAACTTCAGTATAATTTATTGAATCTCCACAGTAGCTTTGTGAGAGAGGTCCTGCAGTTATTTCTATTTTATTTTATTTTATTTTTTTTATTTCAGCATATTATGGGGGTACAGATGTTTAGGTTATGTGTGTTGCCCTTGCCCGCCCCCTCTCCCCCTCCCCGCCTAAGTCCGAATTTCAAGTATGTCCATCCTTCGAGTGGTGTGCATTGCACTCTTTGTGTATGCAAATACCTGTCCCCTCCTCCCCCCTCCCCCCTCCCCCCTGCCCGACATCCAATAGATGTTATTCTTATATGTTATTTCTATTTTATTGATGAGGAAGTTAAGTACCTTGCCCAATTTTGTGCAGCCAGTAAGTAGTGGGGCTGGGATTTAGACTGGCCACATTGTAGAGAGTGGAGTGGAGGGCAGCAAGACTGGAAGCAGAGAGGGCACAGTCTGGAAATGGCTGTTGTAATCCAGGAGAGAGATGATGATATCCTGAACTGGGGAAATGGCAGTGGGGATGGAGGTGGTGAAGGGATTTCAGAGATATTTAGGAGTAAATTTCGGACTAGGAGATTGATTGGATATGGGTAATGAGGGAGTGGGACCTTTCACTGAAATAGGAAAACACAAGAGAAGCAGGTTTGAGAGTTAGCAGACCATGAATATAATGAATTTATTTTTGTTCGTGTTGAACTTCTAGTATCTTTAGTATAAGGTACTCAAGAGAGAAACAAAGTCTAAAGATCTAGATTTTGAGAGTCATCACTATATAGTGAGAATTGAAGCCATGAGATCTTTCAGTAAACATACATTGAATTGCAAAAGGTCAGGGGTTTAGACCCACCAACACAACATTTAAAGGGAAGGAGCAGAGTAAGGAAGACAGATTTTTAAAAGAGACCAAGGAGCCAGAGAGGTAGGAAGAACATGAAAGGTGTATCAGAAGGACAGAAATGGACAACTGGAGTGTGACCTTCCAAGAGTTCAAATATTATAAGGCCCATGACATGTTCTTGGCTTTAGTGATGAGAAGGTTGTCAGTGACTTATTGGCTGGTTTCAGCGGGAGTATAGTGGCAGTGAGGGAGGAATGGTTGTAGGTGAGGTTGATGAGACAGTGAATATAAACGGATTTTCCAAAGAGTTAGTCTTTGAAGGGATGGAAAGAGGGCAGAGGCTTGAAGGGGGTGAAAGGTTGAGGGAGGTTTTGTGTTTTAAAATACACACACACCCACATGGGGGTTGGGAGATGCCTGCAGATGAGGAGGTCTGGGTAATACTGGTACTTAATAAGATAGTAAACATTTAATGGTATAATTATTTCTT